GCTCCGAACAAGTAGGTCACCATGCATCGCAGGAAACCGCGTAGAATAATAGCAAATAAACAAGACGTAACAAATAAAATCATACTTTTGATCATTTGTCGTTTGTTATTTAAAGAGATTAATGAATGAAACGTAAATGTAGGCAAATTATGTAAGAAGGAAATTTACAAATTCGTACAAAGGAATTTACATTCGTACAAAGGAAGTTACGTCTTTTTTATTTGCTATTATACGCAGTTTCCTGCGATGCATGCTGACCTACTTGTTTGGAGCTTCCTAGTACAAGCGTAGCGCGTAGCCACCGCTAGCGCGGGAACTCGGCTGGCAAACTCGCGCTCTGATTAGTCGCGGTTTTTCGTTAATATCTCGGTAACGAAGCTTCAGATTACATTGTTGCTAAGGAAAAAGTTGTTCCAATTCACCCCCCGAGTGCCCTATTTTGGGACACCCTGTATATATATATAATTATTATAACAAGTAATTATTATAAATATTATTTCGAGTGTTATACTCCTTCAAATATTTGTAAAGGATTTTATGGAAGTGTAGTATGGCCAACTGTTTTCCTATTGTTGGTTTATTGTAGATACTCAAACATTGGCCCTACAGAAAGGAACCTCCAGTTGGCTTCGTAGTATAGTCACGTGGGCCTTACGTTGGGTATGATTGTTGGCCCAATTGCAAAGAAGGGTGACAATTCTAACTGTTGGCCAATCAATAGTGCAACAAGGGCCCATCAGAGTGCCCACAGTAATTATTACTAGGGTATGTAAAGGACGCATATCGAACGAAGACCCTTTTAGCATACAGTTAGAAAAAGCTTTTATATTTTGATTTACATTTCTTAAACGAAAAGAATAAAATAGAATATAACAAAAATTTTTCGGGAATGTTCAATAACATTTCCAGCACAGTAAATCATCGATGAGTCGTCAAAGGCTTCTCGGTACTGAGTGTTCAGACGTCATCATTGTTGTCACATACGTTCGGAAAATACCACAATGTAATTATAAGGTTAAAAAATGTTACTATCGTATCAACACCACTGGTATTTATTTACCAAACGATATTCTAAGTTTCTGTTTAGACTAGATTCAATCAAGACAATCCCTAAAGGTAGTATTAACACGTAATTAGCCGCACTGGCAAAATCACAAGTGGGGGTATGGGGTCTGCAGTGACCCAAAATTTATTTTCAAAACGTAAGTAAACCAAAAGATATTAAAAAATAAGAACGAATCCTTGTAATAATTAAGTTTATTACTTTTTGTAGCTATGACTGTATGCACCAAAAGGGTTAATCTTAATCATGTGTAAACATATCGCAAAAAAAACAGACAGCTAACTCGAGCAAACACAGTTCGTTTAATTTAATGTTTCAGCTCTTTACTACTGCATCCCTCCGTTTATTTCGGTGGATTCCACCGTCTTCTTCCTTACTCTCCCTACGTTTTTCATCTTTCGTATTGTTTTCGTTTCTGCGGGCAGGCTCTTTCCCATTCTCTATTAATAATCCGGCCAGGCCCTCGTACCATCCGTTGTTAGACTACTGTCAGCCTTTTCATTCCCCACAAACCAAAGATCGCGAACTTCTGCCGTTGCTTGTGCCACCTACAAGGCCGGGAAAGTTATTCTTACGGGCGCTTCTTTCATCCTCGCGTGACGGGTCAAGGGTCAGGGGAAGGGGACAGGGAATAGAACAAGCAAGAGATTGGCAGGAACGTCGATCGATTATTCTTGAGGCATATTGGATGAATTTCAGGGTAATAGGAAGTTTCGGGTATATAAGGTGGCAGCGGGCTCGTTTGGACGAGATTGTTGATTTATAGGGTCTCTTGAAACTGGCGCCACCACTTTAAGGACACATATAGAGTGTAGCAATGGTAATTCACTGTTCTGTTTAACAAAATTAAGTATACAGGGTGATTAAAAAGAAGAGTTCATAACTTTTACAGTAGATGGTACGCGTCAAATGATTGAAAAAAGTCGTAATAATCATGGATCGAAAAATGAATATTTTTAAAGTTATGAGCAGTTGTTTGTTTCCGATAAAGCGAGTGACTTTCTCGCTTCGGGAACTGTCGTACCGTATGGAACTGATGGATTGCTTTATCATTTCTTCTTTTTCTGATCACAGAAGAATTTTGTAATTTTTATTAGTTTTCTTTAGTTGCGTCGTTTGTTTACAGATGTAACCGCTTTAACGAGACGAGCGTGCTTATAGAAGTGAGAACGGACTGGGGGTCCGAGTGGACCCAATTCGGGTACTCTGTGCGATTGTGCGAACCGTCGGTATTGCGAAGGTTAAAATCTATTTTGAATGAACATTTATTGTAAAATTAACTAATAAATGTTAAGTAAAAATGGGTTGTAATACAGTTTTTTATTTGCAAACCTACTTACAATTTGATGTAGAATTCGCTTCATGTCTAAGATAGCCGAATACTTTTGTGATTAACTGTTCCGTCGTAGACTCGAAACGATGGCTACAGAGTCGGACGATTCAGTTAGTCTTCATTACTTTATTTCTAGCGTCCGTGCATTTTAGACATTTTCGATACCGGCCCTTTGCAATCTCAATTTCGTTAACAAAAGGGAATAATAGACAAAAGACTCGAACATTTAGTCTGCAGTCTGTCACATGCGCACGGTAACCTGGGACCCATCCGCGCCGGGCCTTACCAGGGCGCGCTGACTTGCAGACAATACAGCCATAAACCCTACCGTTGAGAGACTCGAAATTTCGTGGCGGTCAAGTCGCACGGTGACCACGAGCGCGATACCTTTCTGGTGTCCGCTTCACCCTGAAGGAGAAGTCTTCCACCTCCACGTCACTTGGGAAAATCCAGGAATAACTTTATATTATTATAATTTTATATTATATAATTATAATATTATATTATTAA